TAAGATTTTATAAAGAAACGAGTAGTTCAACAATTTTGAGCTGCTTTTAGAACAAATGATGGCAGAGGCCCTACATCAATCCTTCACCTAGGATGATGGGAGACCCGAAGGCATTAGCCCAGGTTTTAATCGTATGACAGTCTCCTACAATGGCTGATGTTCATTGCCCCGCTCATTAAATTCAAGTATAAATAGAAGACAAAGTATTTGAAAAAATCATTTAATTATTTTAAAATCTTAAATAAATTATTTTTTATTATATTCAATGAAATTTATTTTTTATTTTAAATTAAATAATTTTTTATTTTTAATAATTAATTAATTGTTAGAGTTTAAAGTTTAAGGTTTAGAATATGAAATCTCCTATCAATCTAAGTGATGAAATTCATCGTGTTTATCTTAAGTGATGAAATTCATATCAATCGATTCTTAAAAATAATCTTTTATCAATGATCATCTTCGTTGTTTTTAAGTTTTTTTTATTTGTTTTTATTTACATATTACATAAAATTATTATCTATTATAAATATTTTAATTATTAGATAAGTTCAACATATTAATTTTAAAAAATTTTAACCTTTATTTCTCTTTGACTTCGATCTAATAAAAGTTGACTAACTAGATGTGAAAAGTAAAAAATATTATATAATCATGTCATCATATCATTTTATCATCCACTATAATATATATAAATATGCTACATTAATGTCATGTAACATAAAATGATAGTTTCATTTTGATTAAGCCTGTTTGACTTGACTTTTGTTAATTTAAAAGCTATTACAAAACTCTTATGAAAAATAATAATTTTAAAATTAAGTTAAAACTGTTTGGTAAATTTATTTTTATAATTTTTTTTTATAAATAATGTTTGGCAAAACAACCAATATGAGCTTCAATCTTAGTTAAAATTACCATAAAAGTATTTAAGAAATGAACATATTTTTTAGATAGTAATATTGAGATTATTTTTAATAGATGAAGATATTTTTAAAATAAAAGAAAAATTCTTTTGAAATGTTAACTTGTTTTTAAAATAAGAGAAGAGAAAGCTCCCTTAGAGCTTTTCCAAAAACCTTTTTTTTTTTATTTTGTTCTTTAAAAAGTTATTTTTTAAAAAAACTTCTTAAAATTTTGTTTGATTTGACTTTTACTTTTAAAAGATAAATAAATTGAAAAAAAAACAAGTCAAATTGACACTAATAATAATTAATTAATAATTATTTATAAATATTTATTTAATCTAAAATAAAAATATAAAAAATTAATTAAACATAATAAAAAATAAAAAAATTAAAATTGTTTAAATACTTCAAAACTCTTTTTAAATATTATATCAAATTTTTTTTTGGCAGATCATAGTCAACATTAGAAGTTAAATACAAAAACCTACCCCTTTAAACATCCCAAGACTGCACTTTCCTCATGTCCCTTTAAAGTCACAACCTTTTATATTTTTTCCCTTTGACCATACATCTTTGGGGAATGGACCGCCGAGAGTGGTTGAGCCTCCACTAAAAGCTGACCCCACTACGGGTTCAAACGTTCGGCCTACAAACATCTCAAGGCCCAAATATAAAATAGGCTAAGTTTCTTTGGATCCAAAAAGAACTGCCTGATTGGATTGGTGATTGCTGAAAATGTATTTCTCGGCCATGATTGTAGAGTGCTGTAGGCTGCCCTCAACCACAGTCCCATTCCAAAATCAATTTATAAGTTCATTCTCCTAATTTAATACAAGTGTGCATAATTTATGCGCAATTAGTAAATTAAATATGATCACTTTGTTAATAAATAAATTGAAATTTTGGGTACTCTAAAAAGTAAATACTTATAATTTAAAAATTTTTTATTTAAAAAAATAAATTTTATCTTTTATACATTTTATTAGATGTCACTCTATGATTACATGATAATACACAAAAAGTATACACTGACAATAAATCATTATAAACTTTTAATAAAATATACCGTGAGAAATTTTTATTTATTGAATCAAACACGAGATAGATTTGAAGCAAAAACACAAAAATGAAAAAGTATTGGACACTAATTTTTTCCTGGCCACAAAACTCAACCTCTATATAGTATTAGATGCTATTTGCCATGTTCAAGACCTTCCCACCACACTATTGAAACCTGGATTCCCTACTTAGATCCTTCGTCCATACAACAGGCAAAACAAAGGAAAGAAAGAAACTTATCAAAGAAATAAAGAAAGAAAGAAACTTATCTACTTTTCATGCAATTAACAATGTAAGTCAATATCAAAGTGCATAAAGTATCTACATGCTTTAACTAATGCATAATAAATCCTACAATATGTCTTTGTAAACATGATAAATTAACATAAAATCCTAAAACATGTTTTTTCATGCAATAAAGTAAAAAAAAAATCCAAATCGATAACTTAATGAAACCCTTAAATTCATTTAAAATCAGAATAATATATATCATAACAAAACATTAAAAAAGTAAACAAAAATAAGGGGAAATCAACAAATAAGCATACTTCACTGTATTCTATCAAATTATGAGCAAAAAAGTTTGAGAAATTTGCACAGCTAAAAGCATTAGCATATTTGGCAGGAAATGTATTCGAACCTTGTTCACATTTCAACAAACATAAAAAATCTAATGTATTGGATGCATGCTGCAAAAGCTCACTAGTTCATTATTGAAATTCCTTTTGACTTTGCCATGTGGCCTTTGTCAAATGACAGGAGCGCTGGGCAAAAAGCGTGGGCCCCTGGCGGCTCAAAACTGGCCCGGGCTTGTCGAGCTGTGCGGGTGGAATAGTGGTCGGGGCGTGGGGAATGTTGTTGTCATGGAAAACAGGAACATCTAATGATGTCCGTGGAAACTTCTGTCCCTCAACTCGACTGAGATATTGTACGCTACAGCTTTCGACTTTATATCATCAATAAAAAATACAAGCAAGGAGGAAGTGGAGATGTGGATACCGATTATTACTACTTTAATAACATTATAAAGCAGTGAGACCCATTAAGTAGTGGGATTCTCATTCTCATCCCACCTCCCACCTCCCACCTCCATTCCAATTCCCAAAACATGGACTCAGACATATTATGTAAATATATTCTAATACTATGCCATATATATTGGATATCTGTGCCTCTTGATTGGGGTGAGCTCTTGTCACTTGTCAGAATTTCTTTCCTTCTTTTATTTGTTTATTTATATGGAATCAAATGCTTGGTGGGACCCTGCACTGAAAACATCACTCATTTCACATGATCTTGGTTATTGTTTGTACCCATTGTGTCCTGATATCTATTCGACTTCTTCTTTCTTGTCATCTTGTGCACTTTTTTTTTCCCTTTCTTTCCCATGGTTTCCTGGTTTTGCCGAAGCACCCATGGCTAAGTCAGGTATGCTCTTTTATCTTCATCTCTTCTCTTCTCTCTTTTTCTTTTCTTTGTGCTTTTAAAGCAGGTACGACTATTTATAATCCCTTAAGGTGATGGTGATGATGATGATGCATGTAAATATATATATATATATATCTGGGTCGGATGTCTGAATACTGATTCTGGTTTTTATCAACTGTGTGATGTATTTTGCTGCTTTCTTCCACTGTTTTATTCGAGCATACACATTCTGGCAACCAACCCTTCATGTGTTTAGCTCCAAGGGAGAGGAGTGTAAAGTAGGTAAAAAGTAGACTACAAAATTTTGGGATAAGCCTTAAGCAAAAGTTAAAGTAGAGTAAAAGACCAGCGCCACGTTTTGCTAATGTTGGTAGGCACCGATGTCGCTGTAAATGGTTAGTAGATTCCTGTTTCATCCCGTAAATTTCATGGATAAATATTAAAGTTTTACGTTTTTGTTCATTTTGTTCGCTAAACTTTAATTCCTTAATATACCAAACGTGATCACCGTAAGTAATGTCATCCAAATAAATGATAGAATAATAATTAATATAATATTATACTGATTTAAACAATTACGTTATTTAAAAATTTCATTTCAATTTTTATAACTCTTCTATTTTTTTTAATTTTCTAGTATTGTTAAAATGAGAAATCTACGAAAATAATGAAAGGAAAAAAGAAAAATAAGAAGATAAAAATTTTTTTAATAATTTTTATAAATGGCATGACTGCTTGAAGGATCACTATATCATCATTTATTTTAACACGATCTATTAAGATAATTATATTGATATATTTAAAAAGTTTAGTGATCAAATTGAGATGAATTGAAATTTGGTTAAGAGAGCAAAAATGTAAAAATTTAGTTATTATCCATGAAATTTACTCGAATGTTATTGATTACTAATCGTAATATTATTAGTCCTGACAGATGCAACTTAACTTACATGCTCCCAAAATTTTTAATGTAAAAAATAGAGTAAAATATCCAAGCATGATGTTTGAAATTTTTTTTTGATTTATTCATATAAATTCAAATAAGTATATATTTTTTTAAAATTTTAATAAAATTTTTAACTTTTACTTTAAGTTAAATAAGTTATTATGATTAATAGTTAATTAATTATCATAAAATAATATTTATTATTTTATATTTATATGACGTTGAAATGATATTTATATAAAATTGATATGAAAAGTGAAAATGTCATATATTTATATCATTTTGTCATGTCATTATCCATTTAGACATGTTAACATGTCACACTAACATGTTGACCTACCTTATCATAGTTGTAATTTTTGTAGAATAATGTGATTGAATATAATAACAAAATTAAAATTTATTTAAATTTTTATAAATAATTTAAGAATTTTTTTTAAAAATACCAGACCAAAGATGTATTTATATGTATCCTAATATTCCAATTCCCCGTTTGACATCTTTTGCCATTCAATTTCTCCGGCATTAAATCTTTTAATACTTTCCATATTTTATTTTCTTGGCAATTCTCGTTAACTAAAAAGCATTTTTAATTTTTTCAAAAAGAAACTATACCTTTTGAACACCACCATTAAACACTAAATCTTCTTGCTACCCAGAATTTCCAGCATACTTTTCCTTCAATGTCAGCCCTCTTCTGAAATCAAATTTCATTGAATCGAACTAGAAATGATTTTAAAAACCTAAACCCTAAAATCCCAAAATTTCTAACCCTGGCCAACCACAAACGCTAGGCAGGTGTACTTTCAGAAATCTGCCGTATGTGAGATGTACTTGAGTCATTAAGTCAGAAGTCACAGGTGTTTTTGGCTGTATCCTTTGTACAATGTGAATTGATCCTTACTGTAGCCATGTTGCCATTTAGAGTGCAACGACTTTTATTACAATAAGGTGGCACTAAAAGAAGGGGAGAGGAGTTGAGTTGGTAAGAAATGGAGACAACTCAACTAGTTATTTTAATATGGAATTTCCTGCTGAAAGTGCATCGTGCCATGACTTTGACATGCCTCTATCTCCACTTGTTTGCAAGAGAAATGTTGCTCTATCCTTTGGTTTCTGACACTAGTTTTTCCTATATGTGCGACAGAAAGTAACTTATCTTCTTTGTAAGTTGGTCTAAAGTGAAAAATTTCCTTTTTCCTGCTATTTTAATAGATGTGCAGAGGTTGCTTGGTCCATCTCCCTTGGAGAATAAAGGAACTTGTAATTTTCAAGCTTTTCCCAAATGGCATCCTCTAAAGCTTATGACAATCTGGCTCATTGTCCTTTTCGTAAGAATCAGTTATTCATCCAATGAGCCTGATGTTGAGGGTATGGTAACTCTAACTTTCGCCTATTTGGCAATTTGAATTTGTTATGTTTGTGATCTCGGTAATGTGGCAGTCTAAATTTTCCCCTATGCCATTCTGTTGAGATCTTTGGCTTGTGTGGCATCCAATGCGTTTTAGTGTGTTTCCCGCTTAAATTAATATGATTATGCATTTGGTGATAGAAGAAAGTTTTATTGCTATTAGCCTGAATGATGTCAGTTCTGGAATGAGCTTATATATTACCTATGCACAGAGAAAGGATATGGCAAAGAGTGACAATGATTATTAATCACTACAATTCAGTTTGAATGCTTCCATATTTACATCATTATTGTCCTTGATACTTTCCCTCTTGATTTGTTTGATCTTCTGATTGACTCTACATTAGTTGTGACTGAAAGTTATGAGTCTGAAGTGACTGAGAACTGGTTGGAATGACCTTAAAATGTTTTGCTTTGATATCAATTAAATAGTTAGCTATTGTAATGAGAAACGGATAAGTCAAATAGTTAGTAATTTGCATAAGTGAGAGAAGAGAAAGAGAGGGTTACAGAAAATTTTGATATCTATTATTTAAAGTATCTGATTGGTACGGCAACATTTCCTATTGATGTAGATTGTTTTTTGCCGATAATTTAAACTGTTTGTTAAATTAAAGTGATTTATTATCAAATATTTATGATCTTACTAGTTTCCTACTGGTAGGAAATTCACTATGAAGAAACTCCTACAGTTTGAAATTTATGTATCATAATTAAACTGAACACAGGCCACTAAAAACCAATACAGGTGATGGATTGAAAACATAAGGGACCAATTCTTGTCAATTAAGAACCATATTTCTTGTCGTAGTACCTTTTAGGCTTGATATTAGAAGAATTACTATTATCTTCAGTTTTTTTCACATTCATATTATACACATAGGGTACCATACACATAAAAGGATTATTTCTATCCTTATTTACAAAAATTCATAGAGAATAAGAACAGTTTGCCTTAATGAATGCTGTCAACAGCAGCGCAATTACATCCCCATATTTTATTTAACATGTTACAATTTGATCTAATTGCCAATAGTTGTTCCAAGAGCCTTGGTCTGAATTAGTCAACAATCACAGATTTATGGGCATAGGAAAACATTCAAAATTCCAGTTCTCCTTTTTCTTTTGGCTAATTTCAAAACAGATTATAGTATCTATTTCTTGCTGCTGCTTATTATTGGCTGGCTAGTTTTTTTTTCATGTTTAATGACTGGGCTTATATTTCTTCAAATGTTCAGGAGAAGCTTTGACAGGTTTTCTCAAGGTTCTCAATGATTCCAGAGGTCAAATAACTGATTGGAATGATCATTATACCAGTCCATGCTTTGGCTGGTCTCATGTCACCTGTAGGGATGGAAATGTCGTATCCTTGTAAGTCTATCTGTTTTAATGGTAATTGAATTATGGTTACTTTTTATGAAAGACCTTCTTATTTGTCAATGGTTGTATTACTCTTACTGATTTTATTTGATTGACATTGCTTTAACTCTGATTCCATTTACTTTTTGGTATAATATGGAGTTCTACAACTCACACTAGGATCTCTACCTGGACCCTATTTACATCACCACTTAAGCTAAGTCCATTTCTTCATTTTTTTAATTTTATAATAACCTCTGATATAATTTGCAGGGACCTGGCTTCATATGGATTTTCAGGAACTCTTTCACATTCAATTACCAAACTGAAGTTTCTGGTTAACTTGTAAGTTATCTTGTTGCATGATGGTGCTGACTTCATCAGCACTCATTAAATCTGTTGCATATGAGAAAAAGGTTGATGCAAGTTGGATAGTATTGTATTATGCAGATACATCTTGGCAATGGAAAGAGAAAAGTGTATAATTCTATATTAATAACACAAAAACACACCACGCAACATATACATACATATATTTACAAATATTTATGTGTTGTGTGTGTGTTTACAACACAGATAAGCATTTGTGTGTATGCATATATATGTATACATACTGTGGGTTGTATGTCAGTTATGTGGTTTTGGAAATTTAAAATATGAATAATTGGGGAAGTGTGTATATTACTGTTGGACATGTAGGTTGCATGATAAAGACCATAAGTAATTGGTAATCTCTTTACATTTTCTGCATGTCAAAGGGTAACGCTAGCAAGTGGGGCAGGGTTGAGCTGATGAGGGACCATTTGTGAATGCTGCAAATTAAGGGTTAAACCTTTTTTTTATTTCTTGGCTTTGATTTGTAGTAGCTGAGATTTTCGGTAGAAGGTTATCTTTTGTTGCTTGTCTAGTTCTTGACTTCATGATTAGGATGGCATGTTGGAGGATTATTGGTACTGAATCATTTATGTTTAATATACCTTTTAAAGCTCTGCAAGTGAGTTGATATAAGGGAGCTACCTGATTCAGCTGGTGTAACAAGGATGCGGCAGCAGTGGACCACTTCCTTTTTGTTGCTTACTTTATTAGGAGTAATGTTCCATCAAATATTACTCCTTTTGACATTCATTGGATTATACTAAATGGTCTTTTGAAGTTCCCGGCCTATTGAAGAGGGATAGAGATTGGGGTATCAGTCATTTGATAAGGAGATGTTACTTCATAGTTGCTCTGGAGCTTGTTGGGGATAGACATCTTAGTGTTTTGCTGTTAAGAACATATAGTTAGAAAGAGTAATCCAAGCTTCTGGCAATCTTTTATCCTTTCTTTTTCTCTTTTTTTTTTTTTCCACTTTATACTAAGGTTACTTAATTTGTGGGTTTCTTCTTTCTGTGTGTGTATGTGCCTGTGTGCATGCCTGCTTATTTAGGCATCTATTGAATATAATTCATTAAAGCTGCAAACCTCTCTTCCTGTGTCTTTTAGTGAAACTTGTTATTTGTGAAGAAAAGTTGCTTGCTTTCTAGTTCTGCAATATTAATTATCATTTCAACCTATTATTAACTATATCACAGGAGACATTTTTCTGTCTTTTAGTGCTACTTGCATATTAGAAATGGAACATACTTTTTAGTTGGTCAGAATCTTTCGTGATTTATATTTCTGATGCAGGATGTCATGGGTTTTCAGTTTTTGAGATGTTATTCAGAATCATAAGTAATTTGGTAAAGTTGGGTAAAAGCCACTTTATGTGTGATTTGGTTTATGTAGACTGGAAGAAACAACAAAATTTTGATGGTATATGCACTTCAATTTGCATGGCAGGTGCTTTTGTTGAGAACTGAATGTTACTAGATGTGCCTTTTAGAGAATGAATTCTTTTATGATATGCTTGTTTCTCATGCCATAATGTAATAACACTTAGTTTAGTGGAAATTTTATTTATTTTTCAATGGTGGTGAATGAGTCTTGAAAACATTAGTCTACTTTTGCAGGGATTTGCAAAACAATGATCTATCCGGTTCGTTGCCTGATTTCCTTGGTGATATGGTACACCTAGAAACTCTGAATCTTGCAAATAATAAATTCAGTGGTTCTATACCAGCAAATTGGGGTCAACTATCCAATTTAAAGTATCTGTAAGACTGCTATATTCTTCTTGTCAAATTTTGTTTTTTGTTTTTTTTTCCTCTCTCACAAGTAATGTGGAGAATACTAGGTCTACTTTTGTCACTTTTATAATCGCTTTTCTCTAGGTTAGACAAATTTTTGAGAAGAAGATTTGCTAATCTTATATGCTAAATTGACTTCAGAAGTCATACTCATGAATCTTTTTATTTGACAGGGACCTTTCATCCAACAATTTAACTGGAAGAATTCCAATGCAATTGTTTTCGGTTCCAACATTCAAGTAAACTTCATAAGAAATTCCATCTCCTTTAAATTTTAGTAACTATTATAGTATAGTGCTATTTTGGCCTCCTAAAATTGGAAAAATTTTCTGGTAAGAAAATATTAACATTAATCCATAGTGACACTAGTGCTGATTTAGTATATTTAAAATATTTATGTTTATTAATTTACTAAGAAAAATTATACATATTTAACTATACTTTAGTTGTTAGTCTTTTAATAACTGAGATTAACCTGATTCGAATTCTTATAAGCATCTAGACAGCAAGTATATTTGAAATTTATTGGTTTCTGCATTGCTTATCGATGCAAAGTGTCAATCAGATCAGACGTTTTGGTATTTCTTGTGTTGGTTAGTTTTGGTGCTGGGATCAATGGGGATCGGCTTCTCAGGGTGGACCACTTCTCCTGCAAAATCAAACCACCATGAGTGGGCACCATGGCTTTCCCCGGCGTCCGCACTCTGATGTTTAAGTCAGCATAATGTAGAAGTAGGGAGAAAGTATGTGAGAGATAATCTTTTGAGTATGAGAGAGGATATAGACCCTGAGGTGCGTGTGACGGGCACCCATATTTCTATGAGGGAGAGATTCGTTGGTGAGGTATATTAATGGGGCTCAGCTTGTCATCTAGCTGAGGTGCAAGTGAGAGAGATGGTTCTTGATCACCATTCGGATGATCTTTATGTCCCTGAAACCTGCTGGGGACCTAGCCTTAACACTTAGGTTATAGCTTCACATTACATAACTCGCAATTGCTGCTTATTCCTATTGACAGTGTTATTTTGTCAGCTTTACAGGAACACATCTTGCTTGCGGCTCAAGCTTGGAGCAACCTTGTGTTTCAACCCCTACGTTGCCAGGTTTGCTCTAGATCAGTTTTTTTTCCATATCCATTTGATATATGTGTTATATGTGTGCTTGAACTTGTGATGTTTGGGCAGTTTCAACCAGCAGGTCCAAAATTAAAATCGTTATAACCTCCTCAAGTTGTGTTGCTCTCATACTTCTATCACTTGGTACTTTCTTTGTTTACCGGTTTAATCAAGTCCACAAACTTAGGCGTGATGTTTTCGTTGATGTTGCAGGTAATTTTGTTTCTTTTCTCTTTCTTCCCCAATATATATTTTGGCTTAATCTTAGTTTGCAAGAACAATATACATAAAATATGCCATTTCAACCTAACAAACTCCAATTTCATGGTCTTTTCCCATTTTCAAAAAGCAGTTCCTCTGTTTTTAGGGTTAGTAAGCCATGCAGCCGCTTTTCATTAGAATGGGTGTTTTTCACATAATATATACTTAGAACATTTGAAGCCTTGAATTAATGAGTTAAAAGTGATAGATGGAATACTTAGCTTCCTTATGCCTTTGGTTGTGAAATTTCAAACTTCACAAAACTTAACTAATGGCTACTACTTGGGTATGCTAATGCAAACATACATGTGCTGGATAAAAATTGAACAAAAGAAAAGGTTTGCTGATCTAGAAGTTCCTAACATGAATGAAATCATGACCAATATGCAAGAATTGTTGGACGTTAATAGTTTCAAAGAGTAGTGGGATGTTATTAGCATGTTTTAGATAGCCTCAAAACTGCAAAAGCATGGGTGCGTGAGATGAAGAACATATATTCTCTACTCTTGAATATTCATATAAAATATGGAAGGACATGTGCCATGCCCTAGACCCAACCATCAAGGTCAAACACATTGAGTGATCTACTAATCCTCATAATGAATTTAGACTAGCAACCACGCAACTATTGATCACTCTGTAAGTGTCATCGTGTATGAAGTTAGGTGGAATATTCAGAAAGAGAAAATAAGCAGTTAATACTACTACTTAAGTTAGTTGCTTTTGTTGCTTGATTTTTCCTTCTAAAAGATGCTAGAAGGTAAAAGGAAATGTTCAAAAGAAAAATCTTAATTGATCAAAAGCTAACTAAACTATTCTAATCAAAACCATTACTTTGTGATGGAGAAGATGAACGAGAAAACTTAAATGCTTTTGTTCCAATACAAAAGCACCTCAAGCTTATGAGTTTCTATCAACCGTTACCAAGCTCTGCTAAAAGGGGCACCCTCCACCCCTGTTCTGTTCCATGTCCTCTCTTTCAAGAATGGAAACCAAGTTTAGGCTTGACAGAACCTTGCTTACTCTAAGAAGAATCACTGCATATCTTCTTTTGCTCGCTCTTAAAATACCCTTCTTTATACCAACATATAAGAGACCATGTTCAAACTTCTCCTCAATATATCTCAGTTGAAGTGCTCTAGAATTATTTTCTGTAGTCACTATCCCTGCTCACCAATCCTTGGGCCTTCGGATAGGAAAGCAAACATTGCTCCCTGTGTTTTGTGAGTACAATCTCTATGTTGTTGCTCTGCCATATTTTCTATTGACTGCAGTACTCTTACCGTGAAGGAATTGTTCCAATCATACGCAATTTCGTTGAACCCTTCCCTAGTCCAGTAGAGAATCCTAATGACTTGTTCTTTCCCTTTCCTCATGTGCATTGAACATGGTATAAGTTCAAACTTCATCGTGATTACTCTACCCATCCAAATAAAAAGAGACTTATCTGCTTCTTTTTGAGTGACTGCTGACCGACCTCATCTGTTGTTTGGTAAGATGCCTCATCACCCTAGTTTTGCTCACAAACTATATCAAAAACATAAATATGTTTGTATCTGGGGTTAGTTTTGCCCTTCCCTGATCTAGTGGAATTTATAACCTTTCATTTTTTTTTTTCTGATTTCCTTCTCACCAACATGCATGGACCAAATTGTCACTCGCATCAGTAGAACTGGACTTCACGCTTATTCTCTGCAACTTCCACAGGGTCACTATTCACTTCTACTTCCTCTTTCCACCTATATAAGCAATATTTTATCTTTTGGTCAAGTTATGCCAGATTTAATGCAGGTAGTATGGAGACCCGCAAATTCCACCATCTAAATGTGCCTCCTAACTCTTACTTTAGAGACTTGTGCCTCACTGATATTGATCTCCATTCACATTCTTGAGTGATTACCCGTTGTTGCAAGCGCCATCTTTTAATCAATCTTAGATTGATGAAACAGAGAAACAATAAACAATAATTCTTGTAAATGAATCATTATATTTAATCCATCCATTATTTTCTATATCATTCCATAATTTTCTTCAGGCATCCCATGATACAAGTCAAAGTTATTGGGGTAGATATCAAATTTATGCTTGTTATTTCTCGTTGTGCACCTTATAAGAATCCTGCTAAAATCTTTTTTTTTTTTAAGTTTCCATGTGAAACAGATTAACACTTTCAATATTTAATTTTAGGTGAAGAAGACTGCAAAATTTCCTTTAGCCAACTTAGGCGATTCTCATGGCGTGAGATCAAACTTGCAACTGACAATTTCAGTGAATGCAACATAATTGGACAAGGAGGGTTTGGAAAAGTTTATAAAGGTGTCCTCTCTGACAACACTAAGGTTGCTGTGAAACGCCTTGCAGATTATTGTAGTCCTGGTGGAGAAGCTGCATTCCAGAGGGAAGTTGAGCTTAAAAGTGTTGCTGTTCATAAGAATCTTCTACGGTTGATTGGATTCTGCACGACATCATCTGAAAGGATTCTTGTTTATCCTTTCATGCAAAATTTAAGTGTGGCGTATCAACTAAGAGGTACATGTCCTATAGGATTTGCAGTAACTTTTGCTGGTGTATAATGCACGTTTGTTTTTACTTTATTCTAATTAAGTTTGTGTTTTAAATGGAGAAGAAAATTATATTTCATAACATGTCATGGTGTAAAAATGGTGCCTATGATCTTAAAAATAAATATTATACCATGTAAAGGTGAAAAGAAATGCAATTTATAGGAAGTGATGGTGGAAGATGATGTTCAGAATCCTTTAGCCTACCTATTAATATTCTATCATGAAAAAGTAAAAGAAAGGAAGAAGCTAACAAAAATATTGGAAATGTCTAGTCATAATTGTGGCAGTCATAGATCATTTAAACAATATTTTACATCTGAAATTTGCTATAGATTTAAAACCCGGTGAGAAAGGCTTGGACTGGCCAATGAGGAAACGTGTAGCTTTTGGTGCTGCCCATGGTTTGGAGTATCTACATGAGCATTGCAATCCAAAGATAATACATCGTGATTTAAAAGCTGCAAACATCCTTCTAGATGAAAATTTTGAAGCCGTTCTTGGAGATTTTGGGCTGGCAAAGCTTGTTGATACTAAGTTGACTCATGTTACCACTCAAGTGCGTGGTACCATGGGTCATATCGCCCCAGAATATTTGTCCACAGGACAATCTTCTGTAAAAACTGATGTCTTTGGATATGGTGTAATGCTTCTGGAACTTGTTACTGGTCAGCGTGCAATAGATTTTGCTCGTCTAGAAGAGGAAGAGGATGTTCTTCTACTTGATCATGTAAGATTTTTATATTGGTGCACCCTCTTCTAAATCTTTTATGAATATATGGTCTCTGCGGTATTTGCTATTTTGCATTGTGACCTTTGGAGTCTTGGATTTTTATTTTCGGTTTAGTTTTTATCCTTGTTTCTGTATCTGTTTCATACGTTCAGTATTTCTCTTTTTTTTACCCATAAAACATTTTCTCTGTGAGATTAAATACCTGAAACTCATATTCCTGCCCTTGATTTGCTAATGAAAAATGAATCAACTAATACTCCTTGTTGGTTTTTTGCTTGAAAGAGAATTTTCTCTTTACCTGGGAACTATAAAGTATACTTACTCTCTATAACATAAGTTTAACCAGCATTGTTGTGGAACTAAGTTTGCTGTATGTCATGTAAAACCCTCTAAGCACTTACAGAGAATTGTGTCTGCAACCGTATCCATCCAAGGATACGCGGACAAAGATCTATTATATCAAAATAAAACTCTCAGATGCCTTATTCGGTGGTAGGGAGCCAAATCTATGTCTTGGCTTATACTTAAAAAATTGCCATAAGACTCCCTGCTGCAGGCTTTGTCTGGTTTGGTGGAAAAAATTGTTTAGCACTTGTTCTGAAAACCCTGGATAAGAGCCCAGGGAGAAAAATTACGAAATAACTTCTATGAATTTATTGACATGTCCATCTTTTTCATTTTTAGACTGGTTTTGAGCATAAGTTGCATCATGGTGTCCTTGGTGAAACTGTTAGTATAATGAAGTACGATGTTTTCATTTTTGTTTCTTTTTCTTATACTTCTTCTTACTTCTAACTTCTTTTAGTGGGTGGGGGTGGGGAAGCCTAAATCTTCTAGTTTGGGACTTCCATTGAAGAGCTGTTAGCTTTGCTAATGTCAAACACCAAGCTCACTTGAGGACTTATGGAACCTAATTTTTTTCCTTGTCATGCCTGCCTTTGCAGCTCCACACTTCTTCTACTTTCTCTTTCATTTCTTTTCTTTTTTTTTTTGTTGTTGAGTTTTTTATTTTGTTTTATTTAAAATCTTTTAGTTGGTGGATGTATATATATGTGCACACGTGTTTAATTTGTCTTAATATATATTATTGATTGTATCTTTCATGAGGATCTTTAGACTGATGAAAATGTGATATTAACAGATCAAAAAGCTGCTGAGAGAAGACAGGGTTGATGACATTGTTGATCGAAACTTGAAGATTTATGATCCTAAAGAAGTGAAGACTATTGTACGAGTTGCACTGCTCTGCACACAGAGCTCACCCGAAGATCGCCCAACAATGGCAGAAGTGGTCAAAATGCTAGAAGGAGTAGGACTAGCAGAGAGATGGGCTGAATGGGAGGAGCTTGAACAAGCAAGGAATCAAGAATTCATGCTTTTCTCTCACCAGTTCATTTGGCCTGAAGATTCAAGTGTTGACCAAGAAGCTATACAGTTGTCCAGAGCCAGATAATCCCACACACTATCACTTTTGAGCTAAACTCTCAAACCCAAGCAGCTTTTGTGCATTGAATCTCAGAAAGAAAAATGAAAACCATAGTATTATCTAAAGTTGTATCACATAGTATATGGTTTGGTATCTGTTACAATGCTACATTTATTGCTTGTAAAGAGTTATGCCCTGCTATGCTAAATGTAAATATTAAGTTGTTGAGGTGTGGATGAGCAGAAAGCCGGCTACCTTGGATCCGATACAAGACAAAAGGGGGCGACCCAGGATGTCGGGCAGATCCCTCTCCGACCGTCAAATCAGTACGATGATGCGGAAGAAAGAGACAATGACTAGGACCAGCTGCTGATTCCCATCAATACAGGAACAGGTCATCGTGCTAGCCTTTAAGCTAGCTACTGTCAAGGCATATTCTGCTCCTCATTTGTAGGATCCGATGCCTTTATGCCACCAGTGTGGTAGTATTGGTAATGGGCCTCTTGGGCCGTTGCCACTAATGGATAATGGTCTTTACTCGAGACTTGAGTAAAATAGGCTTCATGAATGCCCGGTTCATAAAATCTGGGCTTATTTCTCACACTCGAACATACCAATTTACTTTAGTCCATTTCTTCAATTTGGTTATGGAAATTCTATTTCTTTTTCTAGTAAAAAAAAAAATCTACTATTTATATTTCTTATTCATTGTAGCGATGAGATTACATATACAAGTGCAATTATGATCAAATAATTATCAATATATGTTCGGTATTATTATTATATAGAGTAAAAGAGTCGAAAAAATCAAAGAATAAATCAAAGGATTAATATAAATGCTCCTTCATGATGAGACTTTAATTTAAAATTAAAAGATTTTAATTCTTTCTTACCATTAGAATAAGCCATTCTTTCACTTAGTGAAAATGTTAATATTGTGAAAAAATTTTATAATAGTAATGACGTAACAAGTTGACATATTGACATAGTAAACATTTTGTTATGTTGCTTCTTGATTTAATGTAGTCTATTTCTTAAAACTATTAGACATGACAAGTTGACATAGTTCGCATCCCTAAGTTTAATGGTAAGAAAGTATTAAAAAAGGAAATGTTCTTATTTTTGTTATATTGAAAAAGGTTTTTTTATTTTTTATTTTGTGATATTAAAAATAATAAAAGAACATATAAATTTTATATAAAAAGTTTTTAAAAATTTAATATAAAATATGTTCAAGTTAATTTTTTTTTTAAAAAATTCAATTAAATTTAAATGAGGACAAATTTTTTGAAACGGAAAGAATAACAATATCCATAAAACCTAGCGTTAGACAAGCACTAGGAATTAACTAATAGTTCTCTTTTTCTTTTTTAACTACTAATTAACAAATAATATTAACACAATTAGTACTTAATTTTCGATCTGTCTACTACGTTAGGTAATCTTCCTTAACTCTATTTTTAAAAGACAAGCCCGTACCACAATGTTTGATATAAGATAATTTATGTGATTTATTCATGGTGATTAAATTATATTTAATAGCAACTTAAGAATTTTATGTGATAGTGATTTTAAATCATTGAAAATGATTAGATCACTGTCTGTGGGTGATCTGAATCTTATCTAAAAAAGTGAAAAAGTTTTATCACTAAGGAAGGATTTTTAAAATTATTTTTATAACAAACCTAGGCTCGTAATAATGCACACGAAAACAGGTTCCTTTCTAAAATTTTAAATTTCTTAAGAAAATCTTCACGTTTTAATTAATTCAATTACAAAATAAAATAAGTGACTTTGATTTTTATAATAACACGTAAATAATTTTAATAAGATGTTTTAGAAAATTATACTCATTAAAACTTATTCGCGGCTTATGCGATGTTAGCTATTTCAAACCAAACCAAAAAAAATACAAGAAAAAAAGGTGAATAAAGTGGAGGTAAACAATTTATCTCACCTAACTAAATTAGGACCATCGAACCAACTTGGTTCCAACAATACGTAATTAGTAAAAAAGTTAGCCCACCAACCACTCCAACGACAAACCCTTCCAATTCTCTAAACCAGTCATGACAGATACACACAAGCCACTTAAAAACAATACAAAGAGCAATATTTGCATTAGAAACATAAGGTACTCCGCCAAAAGGATTATAATATATAAACGATAGAAACCACCCTCACCTCCGGTTGGTCCATACATGCATGTGCTTTATTTGACTCCAAGCAGACATTGCAACTATAGTAAGATCAAATTTTGAGAAGGAAAATCCTAATGTTACTAGTTAGAACTTATAGTTAACGTTCACATGTGTAAAAGGAAATAGACTTATTCTTCTTGGAATTATAAAATTAATTATAAGATGAAATCTAAAGTAATGATTGTTTGTCAAATTGGTCAGTGAGACTAGGAATATTATTAGTTTTAGGTTATCGTACAGTCCAAAGATAGTTAACCAAACTCCTGAGAGACGAGCTCAAGCAAAGCGTATGTGCTTACAATTGCTTTCTCATAAAAAGATTGCTACATATATGTTTGTTTTGGATCCCCCAAATATCCCCAACCACCACGAAAAGTCTTTGGCCTGTTGTTTCGCAGCTGCGGTGATATCTCAACCTCCATGTACAAGTTGGCATGTCTCACTTTCCCACTTTAGCCTACATCTTCTCCTCTAAGCTCCATTCGACAGTCGTTATCTGTTTTCCCCTACATCTACTCCTCCATTTTTGTTTATCAAGTTACATGCCTTTACTGTGTGTTATTGTTATGTAAAGACCATTTCCACTCTAGAATCCTATATAAGCTTCATCTCACCAACCGCCTTCGATTCACATCTGATCTCCCAATTCGATTCTTTCCAATTAGATTTACATATGGCTTCACTATATTCTTTGCTATGCGTGGCGTTTCTAACAGTAGTAATAGTTGCGTTGTATGTTTCGCCAGCAGTTTCCACGTCGAGGCGAGCATTAGAGCACCCGAGGCTCCAAAACGGGTTCAGGGTAACGCTCAGGCATGTTGATTCAGGCAAGAACTTAACCAAATGGGAGCGAATCCAGCGCGGGTTAAAGCGAGGGAATCACAGGCTGCAGAGGTTGAATGGTATGGTTTTGGCAGCAACTGATGCATCTGAACTTCAAGCGCCTATTACTGCAGGGAATGGCGAGTTCCTAATGGACTTATCGATTGGGACTCCACCGGAGAGTTACTCTGCAATCCTGGACACGGGGAGTGATTTAATATGGACTCAGTGCAAGCCTTGCTCTCAATGCTTTGATCAACCTACCCCGATCTTCGACCCCAAAAAGTCTTCTAGTTTCTCCAAGTTATCATGCTCCAGCGACCTATGCTCAGCACTTCCCCAATCAGCTTGCAGTGATGGATGTGAGTATCTCTATTCGTATGGCGACTATTCCTCCACGCAAGGGGTCATGGCAGTCGAAACATTCACATTCGGCAAGGTTTCTGTTCCAAAAATTGGATTCGGGTGCGGAGGAGATAACCAGGGAGATGGATTTACACAAGGTGCGGGCCTGGTGGGGCTTGGTCGTGGACCCGTGTCGCTAGTCTCGCAGCTAAAACAAGGCAAGTTCTCTTATTGCCTAACGTCCATTGATGACACCAAAAAAAGCACACTCTTGATGGGGTCTCTGGCAAGTGTGAATAGCACATTAGGAGCAATCAAGACCACCCCATTGATACATAACCCAACACAGCCATCTTTTTACTATCTTTCACTCCAAGGGATTACCGTGGGAGACACTCGCTTGCCTATCAAGAAATCCACTTTCGCACTCGAAGATGATGGCACTGGCGGCTTAATCATAGACTCTGGCACAACCATTACGTATCTAGAAGAAAGTGCTTTCGACGTGGTCAAAAAAGAATTCATCTCTCATATGAAGCTTTCCGAGGACACTTCGGGTTCAACCGGGCTCGAGCTTTGCTTCACCTTGCCATCAGGTTCGACGGATGTAGACGTACCCAGGTTGATATTCCATTTCGAGGGAGCAGATTTAGACTTACCAGGGGAGAATTATATGATTGCTGACTCCAGCTCCGGATTGCTTTGCTTGGCAATGGGAAGTTCTAGTGGCATGTCCATCTTTGGCAACGTTCAACAGCAAAACATTTTGGTGCTTCATGATCTTGAGAAGGAAACGTTGTCGTTCCAACATACACAATGCGACAAGTTATGAATTTAATTATTTCGTGGCCTTCATTTTCGTTTGTGTGTTAACTAATTTGTCATTTTTTTTTGAATTTAATTGTTACAATTTCATACATGGTAGATCTATGTTTTAAATACAAAATCAATAATGTTTCTCTTGACAGATTTGCCTATATTAGCCATCAAATCAATTAAGGACCAGATGACAAACGAGCTTGAAAGGAAAACAAAGGAGTAGCTACATTAGGCACATCTTTTGGCATTAATAATTGATAAACACCAGTACAGTAAATGGTGGGCAATTATGATATTGGCCTTTATTAGCATTGTGAGCTTAATAAATAACAAAGTTGGAAGTCATTAATAATTATAACATTATAAGTGAGCTCAATTTGAAACATGTTTACAAAATTATTACACCCTATTTGTTCTTTATTCGGGAAATCAGAGAGAGTGAAGGACAAAACCAAAATCATATCCGACCTTAATTAGGATAAAAAATTCATATAAATAATAGTAACAGTACTCTTATATTATTTATAATAAAAGAAATAAGTAATTAGATAACAAAATGTAAAATGTGAGTTGAAATTTTCACATATTAAGACATTGTCATATAATTTGTTTATTGAATCGGATGACCGATATTAGAATAATCTCCAAGTATGTTATGCATTAATTAATTCTATAATCTCTCCTCAATTCATTCTATATCTGACTGAAGAAAGAAATTAGAGAGTTGAAGCTTAAAGAGATTGTTTTAGCTTTGATTTTTCCTTCTTTTCACTTCAATCTTCTCTCTCTCTACATTTTTCAATCTAAAAATCGAAACTTTGCTCCTTGATTAAGTCAGTGGCTTATCAATTGCTACCTTGAAAAACTTTGGATGTGACTTAAATTTCATGATTTAATGGCTCCACCATTAAATCAGCTCCTTTTCTCTTGAGTTTTAAGTTATTTTATCTTCTTTTCCAGCTTCCAAATCCTTATGTCAGTTGCTGAGGCAAAAAAAGGAAAAAAAAAAGAAGAAGAAGAAAATGGGTCTTTTTAGTTATTTTGATTTATGGGCTTTCAGTAGAAAATTAGAACTTAATTAAGTTAAATTAGTAGCTTAATAATTGTTACTTTGAACAGCTTTTGATGTGATTTGTTTTCCTTTAGATGCAATTTCTTGCAGTACTTGTCATGAGGTTAATGGCAATATAAAAGCTCTTGTTGTCTATGAAGACATTTAAATCATGGAATGCACTTCTGCTAATAATCACAATCATTGCAATAATACACTTTCAACTGTGATTATTACTTCAACATATATACGCAATCCACTTCCCACCATTTCCACCACAATTTTGCCTGCCATAGTTAGGTTTTTGGCAAGGAAACAAAATAAAAGTACGAGAATATACATATATATATATATATGTAAAATTTTTTATTGATGTAAAAGAATATCTCTGTTCATTGTATTTTTAAAATTGTTGTTTTAAATAATTTTTTGTTTTATATAATGTAGAACAATTATAATTGCATTAATTAAGAAGATTTCATTTTCATCTATTTGGAATGGTAGACATGTGCAAAGAAAGAACAATGAGAAGAAGACATAAGTGTGCACTAGGACGGAACGTGGCCTACCAAAAACTTTATGTTAATCATTAATTAATTATATATGTAATTAGGAAAATCTCTCCACTTTGCAAGAGGTGTTAATTTTTTATTTTAAAAGTATAAATCAATAAGTTTTTATACTGGATAGTTTTCTAAAAAGAAATTAAAACTTCCCAAAAAAAGTGAAAAAAATACAATAATAAAATTTTTCATAGTTCTTTTTTTTTCTCCCTTATCTTTCTTTTTCTTTTATTAAAAGACTTAAATCTTTTTCACTCTATTTTAAAAATATAGATTTATAGAACAAATATGTAATACTTAATAATATTTTGATTAGAAAATATTTTTAAAAAAGCAAAAAAATGGAAGAAAAAAAACACAGAAAAAAAATGTTCAAAACTATTTTTATTTGTATAAAACGTTCAAAATTTATATACATCCGAACATTTGAAACCCAGAATCAGGTTAGTCCAACAAACCAACCATTAACCTAACACTAGTCCACCATTGCAATTTGCAAGGCAAGGCAAGGCCTAATTATAAAGCAATCAACTCCCAAATTGCTTCAGGTTAATCAATTTAGCCAACACGATTTGGCAAGTTGAAGAACTCAACAGGACCTCTCGCCTTTTGAGGCTTAAAACCCCGTTGGGCAATGCAACATAAAGCCATAGTTTTCCAACATTTTATACAAGTGGAAGAGGAAGAATATCTTATGGAGTATTATGTAGTCTTTTGCTATCTTTCGACCCAAGTTCACGAGCCCGTTTCTTCCACAAGGCTGTAAGCTTACGCTCCTCTTCTAGTTCTGATTCAGCCCTTTTCCTGCCTTCCTCACAAGTTTCTACTCCTACGTAGCACTTTTCTGCCATTTTCTGGTAGTATGAGGATGCTCTTTTCATATACTTTCTTTGTGCCCTGGTGCGCTCCAAGGTTTCATTGCTTACAATCTTCTGTAATGCAATCTCCTCTGACAGTAAAGCTACGATATCCTTCTTAATTGCTTTTACATCTGGATTATGTTTACCGCAATCTGCATAATGAAGAAAATCATTTGAACAGAAAGAAAGACTAGGATAAAAGGAATGGGATTCGGTTACTATCAATCCCCAACTTCGAATATTTCCAATGAGGCAGTGAGTTTAAGTCTGGATTTCCAACAAGAAAAGTTGATAATGTGGCTTGCATGAACAGCTATTTTGACTGGAGATCGGGTTTTGAGGTACTATGATGAAGTTCTGTTTTGACCTGTCCTGTTTAATGGCAACAATGGAAATGTTCTAGCAAGTGCTCTGGGGTGAAATTTTCCCCGACTTCAAATCTACTAAACCCCGCCCCACGTACGGAGCAAGAATGCTAGTAGCTAGAAAACTTAAAGCTGAGGCAGATGCACTGACCAGAGTATGTGCTCTTGAGTAATCCTGCAAGAATAATGAAGATACATTTTTTTCTTTTTTGAAAATTAAAGAGCAGCTTTCATTAAACCTGGGGGAATGAAAGGGGTTCCCACCAGTAAGGGGGCCTTGGGGAAAAATATTGTCACTCAATTGAAGTGTGAGTTAAATGTTCATCTACATCCCTGGTTTTGAAGATATTTCCTAAATTAAATGCACTACAGCAGCATTATTTCTCAGTCAAAGATCTAATGCAGCTTAAATCATATACCTATGAGGCTATTCAAAATTTCTCCTTGGAGATATCAATTCAAGGGAAAGCCAACACTAGCTCCAATTGCAAATTTAATAACCAATCTGCAGTTGGTAAACAGAATACAGTAGCCACCATTACCCTGGCCATATAACCAGAAGAAACAGGGCAATAAACGCAGAATGATAATATTTTCATACAGTAGAAAGTATTTGAACTTAGAGAATTGGCTTCATCAGAAGGATGTTTCAACATCAAGGACTCCCAATGTCATGACTTTGCAGCGCAGAGCGGTCCCAATAGCTAGCAGTTAATGATTGTAACCTTGATCTATGCTGCAGTCTATAATACCAAGCCTAGCCCATAATGCTGCCTGACTTGAAAATAAGGCATTATCTAACTAACCAGGTTAATTGTTATTTATAGCCTAACATGCCATAAAACCGGATAACTGACTGCCTATACTCAATGCCTATTCAACAGACAACAGACTGATATAGTTTCCCCTCAATTAATGGCAACAAATTCATCCCATCATTCTGCCAATGTTTATGCTTTACAAAAGTAGAAATAGCATTTCCCGATGTAGTCACAAGCCTATGGGATAGATTGAAACACGGGAAAAGCATACAAACTCAGAGCATAAAAACAAATCTCACCAAAAATAGCAACTCACATAATCAATACCATTTTTTCAAGGAGTAGACGTATATAAACCAGAAAAGGAAAACGCTTCACATGAAAATTAATGGCTAGCCATTCCTGAAAGGTTTCAGTTTTCAAACAGTGAGTGGAGGGCAAAACTCTGACTAACCTGGTGGTGATACAGACTGTGCCTCGGAAGAGCAATTACAAAAACAAGGAGGACAAGACACCCGAGCTGTTGACTTGTCCTTCAAACCATTGAACAGTGTCGGACCAACAATGTGACCAACCAGACATACACAAACAAAAGCAGAAGCAAACCTTAAAACACCCTTACACCGAAACTTTCGCTCTGAACTATGAGCCATCTATATTAATTCTCCTCTTACAACAAAACACAGATTTACTGAGACCATTTCAAGATCTGAGGTCAAAGACTGCAGTCTTAGACTTGAGGAGACATTGGTTCTTTTTTTGGGAAATTAACGAAGACCCAGATCCCTATATTAACAGTCTCATAATCTAATAAGAGTTGTAAGTTTGTTTAACTACTTACTTAATACTATCAAAAACATTAAAACTAAAACTAAAAATTCAACTGAAAATATATATTGAGGCTGAGGGACACAAGGGATAAGTAGGTTTTAACTTTAAAACTAAAATATAAATTGAAAATCTTCTCTGTTCCATTTTGTATTTCCTTTAGTATCCTGTTTATAATTTTATATTACAAGTTTAAAGTGTACATTAAAGAAAAGGAAAAAATAAACAGAGTTTTAAAGTAAATTTAAACTCTGATTTTTTTATTAAGAATTTTTCACATTTACAAATCTATCATGATAAAAAAATTTTAGACTTAATTTTATCTAGTTTCTTATTCTAATAGAATGTCTATCATTTCTAGTTGATAGACTCTAACTCTAACTTATCCTAGCAAAAACAATTTTGAATAGATAATAACAAAGAAATATTACTTTGCAACCATTCTTCCATGGTAAGTGATAAAGGGCAAATGGCATCTCCTCCCCCTAAACCCTTCCAATTCAGAAAAGGTAAGCACCATTCCTGGATTGATATGCAAAATGCAGGGTTGCTCTCAACCCCAAAACATTTAGATGAAACGTGCTTTTCAAATAAAATGGATTCTTGAAGCATTCTAGTGGCAAATTTAATTTACTTTACCAATTGCAACTTGATTAGGTTCACAAGATTGGTAAATAGCTTACATTTCACCTAATTTAAGGTACCTGTTTTCAGTTTCATGCACAAGTTTCTTCTTTTTGCGTAAGCTTTTTGATCCAAGTTGCAAGTCTTTCCAACTGTGTAGCATTTTTCATTGGTTTACTCTCTTCAGCATTTTGGGTGGCTAAGTCTTAAGGGTCCAACTAATAGTTAAAAAGTAATCATATAAGATTATATATTTATATATGTCAAATTTCATGTATATATAATAATAATAATAATAATAATAATAATAATAAAAATTAAAAATAGAAAGGTGGCTACTGTCACTCTCATCACCATCTTCGATCCGTCCCTGCGTTGAACCGAGACATTTTTTATGATATTAGTCTAGAGGCATGAAATGTAAGACTTTCATGCAGAGGACCAAGATTTTGGTAATCAATTGTCTAGTCCCTGAATTTCACTTCCATGGTAGATTCTCAAAAAAGCTAAATGACTAGCTTCAATAAGTAGCAACCAACTAATACTTTAATGCACAGTTCTCTGATCACTAGTCCATCTTTATTACTATCATTTTGTGTATTTGTGTTGATATGGTGTACACGTGCATACCTTTTAGATGAAGCTAAGCTACTTAAGTGTACCTCTTAGCTTGCTTGTAGGACTGAAACCTTATCCTGATGGTAGAAAAGAGTGGAAAACAAAACTACGAATCTTGTAACAAAAAAGTATAGATATATAAATACAAGACATGTAAAGAGAAATTTTGGGTTTGTTTACTTGGCGTGCAAGAGGCAGATCAAGGCTATGATAGCAGAAAGCGACAAGAAAATAGTAGTAACCATTAAGACTCCATTAATGCTATTAAGGATGAAATACTGACTTCTCTAGGTGTGAAACTATGACTTACAAGGGGATTAGTGGGATAGTTTGGCTGCAAATTGGGGTAAAATTAAACTCCTTTTTTTTTAGGGACAAAAGAGTGACAAAGACACAGCACCCAGATGACATGTTAAATTGCACAATTGCTTCGTAAGGGAGTGAAGGAAATTAGGAAACATGGAGCATCACTAAGGCACAAGTAACCTGTCTAAGCAAATCAACCTACAATATTTTAAGCCCTCTCCCCCCCCTATATTTCCTTCCAACTCTTCACCTAACATGATGAGTTAAGAGTGCCAAACTCACTTCTCCAAATTAATGGGGTGGTTTCACTCCCTCCTCTCCCCGTTCAAGAAGCTCTGGGATCGCCTCCATTCAAGCCAGAGAAGGGGTAAATCTTCACTCTGTCTCTCACTCTCTCCCCACAGTTCTGTATCAAAGATCAACTCTCTGTTTCTCATGATCACTCTGCTTTGATTTTTAAATCATGTAATAGCATTTTGCATTGTCTTATATGGAATCGTTTTCAAGCTAATTGAGCTTTCTTTGGTTGGCATTGTTCTGCTGCAGGAAGGGGAATATATATCCTTTACAAGGATGTCAAGTCCTGCCCATGTGAGGATGTGCAAGTGCTGTGGTCAATACTGGTGCAGTCACAAACCGCTGCTTTGCCATCAAAAAGAAGTGAAGCCTCAATTTCCCCAGAGTAAACCATGACTGTGAATAAGAAAGTTTCCCTTTGCGTCCATATGATTATATATGTACTTACACCCTTACACTCCCCTGTTTTTCAGTTCATATCAGTTCTGTACTTAGATTTTATGTACAGGCAAGATTAACTTATTTGGCTGGATCAGCTCTTCTTCTTTTTCCCACTCTTCCTTTGGTACTGCTCATTGCAGCAAAGTTGAAGAACTTGTAATCTTGACAAAGAATGAGAATCTGAAAGAAGTTATGACCCATTTGATTTCAATTTGTATGCCCAATCCATCCATTATCCGTTTCCATGGTTGAGGCTCAACCTCCCATATGTACAGTTCAAGATCCAATAAATCTTTGCATGTACTAAAAAGAATTTGATTAAGGGAAAAGAAAGTGATTGAAACCAAAATTATTGAAATTAGAATGTGAGAGTTGCTTTAGTTTGGATTTTGAATGAGACTTTGTTGTCAACATGTAATGATAAACTTGAAGTGTACGCATGATGGAAAAACAAAGTTAAAAAATGGGAGCAGTGATGATACAAATCAACAATGATTACTGTTGTAATAATTAAATCAGATTAGGCATAATATTTTAAAAATTTTTTATATTATTTAAGAAAAATTAAATAAAATTTTATTTTTTATTATATTCAATCAACTCATGTACTTTTATTTTGTATGAAATATAACTTAAAACTAAGATTGACTAAGTATTATTTGTTCAAATACTATTTATTATTTTATATCTACATGACACACATGGAGAGTAAAAATATCACGTGATCGTATCACATCAACATCTATTACGACATGTTAACGTGTCACAATAGCACCACATGACATAAAATGATAAGTAACATTTTGATTAAGAATAGTTAATTAATCATTAGCTATAAATATTTATTTGATGTAAAATAAAATTATAAGAGCTTGAATGAATGTAATAGAAAAATAAAAATTTATATAAATTTTTGTAAATAGTTTAAAATTTTTTTTTAAGTATTATTGTTAGGGTCGGAATTTAAGTTCAACTTTGTACAACCTTAAACTTTAAAGATAGAGTTTAAGTTACCCTATAAATCATGAGCCATGCTAGTGGAAGATCCATGTTTTTATATTTGAGACGCATCGCAGTTTTTATTGATGTGAAATTCGTGATATTTTATTTTACCTAATTTTGTGAATATTCGATTTTACTCTGATACTTTGAAAATAGAGTTTAAGTCAATTTATAAATCATGGGCACATGCTCTAAACTCAAAAAATATACATGATAAGTGGTGAAAAACTCATGATTATATAATCAAGACTTATCACATTTTTTATTGATATGAAATCCATATCATTATACCATTAGATTATTACTACATATTAATAATTTACCTATTTTTAAATAGGCATGAACAAGATATATACCAACCTAACAATATTAAAAATAACTATTAAACACTTTCTTATAAAATCAATATTAAGTAATATATAAGTTCCTATATGAATTTAGTATTAAGAGATAAATGTTATTAGCTCAACGATGAAAGTGAAAAAACCTTATATTAAATAATAAAAAATTATACAAGAATAAAATATTTTAATCAATATATATTTTCTACAAAATAAGATAAAATAAGAATTGCGTATCACATTTTTTAAAATTGACTGCATAGTTATTCATTAAACTTTTCTCTCTCTCATATATAATAGTTTTTTGGTAAAATATTTTAATTTTCAAAATTTTGATTGAAATTAATAGAAGTTTATTAATTTTCGAAATGGATATTCCATTTTAAATTTTTTTTCGTTGGACACATAGATCCAATCGTTAGTTAATCGTTAATATTTCTATCAATTTGTTAAAATGGTAAAAATAAAAAAATAATTTTACCTTTAATTAATTTTTATAATTATTATTTTATAATTTTATTATTTTTATTAATTAAAGAAAAAAAGAACTCCCGTAGGGAGCATTGGAGCTCCCTGGTGAGCCGCGGGAGCATTGGTGCTTCCTTGAAGAGTCCATTTGGGGCTTTCTAAGGAAGCACCGGTGCTCCTTTTGGGGACCTCCAAATCGGGCTTCCCAAGGGTGCCCCGGTGCACCCCTCCCAGATCGGTGCCCCCTCTTTTGGGGAGCATCGATCACTAATTGGTGTTTTTAATTTTTATAATAAATAATAATTTTTTAAATTAATAAAAAAATATTTTAATTTTTTCATAATTTTTATTAACGTGTTTGTACGCTAGGAGCAGAGTTTTCATTTCAAAAATTAATAGATTTTTGTGTAATTTCTTCGATTAAAATTTAAGGGGTTCGGTATTGTACTTTAATTTTTTTGAGATAAAAAATTATATAGTTTTAGTTGGTTATATTTTTTTTATTTTTTATTTTCAAATAACACAAATTGTGTTATTTTCTTTTTTTTTATTTATAAAATTTTTCCTCAATAGATAATTCATACAAATATATAATTTTCATTTGTTGAAAAACGCTAGAAATATTTCATATTTTGTGCATCAAGTTTAAAGGTGTTCAAAAGTCGAGTTACCGATCAAGACTAACGGACCCAACCCAGCATGGTATAGATGTTTTAGGTTTGTGTTGGTCCGACCCTCTAAATTAATTTATTAATAAATTATATGTTAATTTTAATTTTAAAATATATTTAAAAACATTAAAATATGAAGATAAAATCATATTACACTTTTAATAATAAAATAAATATGCGGGCTGAGCAAGGCTTGGGCTTGGCCCAGCGGGAATCTTGTCCCTAAACACCTCTAATCAGGCTTGGTCTAGCTCTCTTTAAGTTCAGTTGAAAGTGAGGCCCTTTCCAAACCCATATCTATTCAGCACAAGCTGAATCTGGGCTCTGGCCTATAACGAAAGCACAGTCATGTAGTTGTAGGCGAGGCCCAGTACCACATTTTCTTAAACCGGAATAGAACACCCTTTATCTTGATTTACGTCTTGCGCTTGCTTGTTCAAGCGAGCAGGAAAGGGGAAACCTCTCTCTCTGAAGGAATCATGTATTTTTTCTCTGCGTTAATTTCTTTAATTGAGATCAATTTCCAACCTAGGGCTGGATTATTCATCGGTTGGACATAAATTTCCAAATTGAAATCGGGTAAAAAGGCTAGATTATCTCTGTCTCTGTCTCTCACTCTTATCTTTTCATTTGGCCAAATGAAAGCTCTTGATGCCCTTTAATTTCTTCGATATGAATAAAGTTTGATCAGTTTCTACTTGAATTCGTCTCCTGTAATAATTTTATTCTCATTAAATATATACCTTGGGAATTCTAGTTCCAACTTTGCTTCTGTTCTTTTTCTGTGTCTGTAGGTATTAATTGCAAATCAAATATTGGTATCTTGTTGGATAAAAGAGGCTATTGATCTCAGGAATATCGATCCTGAAACCATGACATTCAGCGCGAAGGGTGAGTGATCTACTCCTGGCTTTGAATGTGTTGTAACTATTCTTATCACGCTATACCTAGTTGAAGACTTGTCATGGAACACTATGGGCTTAACATAGTCATAATCTTTGAACTTATGGGAAGAACACTTGATGATAGTGCAACGTGCATTTGGTTGAAAGACTTGCCTTATGCTTTCTCTCTCACCTTTCTGCTCGTATCAATTTTCGTCTTCTTGTATCCTGCGTCTGAAACATGTTTTACCTCTTATAACACCACTTAGTGAACTCTTTAGTGAATGCTTTGGGAACTTTTATGAACATTTTGGAGACATTTATAGAGTTAGGAAGATGAGAACTTGTGAAACAGGAATCTTCTTTGGTAAAGCTTTCAACAGTTAGCAACATCTGATGAAAAACCTTGACTTAAATCATTCCTTTTGATGCTAATGACATTCTAAAGTTAATCTCTATTATGGCCAAAACTTAGCTTTTGATTTACTTGAAATAAAATTACATACTGGGACTTTTGGCAGGTTCAGAATTTAACTTCAAGTTCATGATGATTATTGATTGCTCCCATTTGTCATGTTCATAATAATTGACTTTTGTAATTTCTCTGCTGCTTTAAATTTTTGTTACAGTATTGCTAAGGAAAGCAAAGAAGCTTGAGGTGCAAGGCTTAGAGAAGAATAAAATTGCTCTGACTTGTGCCTCTAATCTTGATCAATTGCTTAATGAGGTTTACATCAGTCGTTTGCCAAATCAAATTGATTATGATAATCGAACAGATTTGGTTCGCATCTTCAATGCAATGGTGAAGGAAATTTATGGTAACTTTTCCGTTCTGAAGCAAAATTCTCTAATTTCTCTCTTTAGATAAGAATTAGAGGAAAAAGTTGTTAATAATGTCATTGAATTCATTCTTTTCAAAAATATTTTTTTCTTATTCTCTGGATATAATTTTTTTTTTTTTTTTTTTTATCGCTTTGTAATTATGGGAGTCTCCACTTACCTCCACTTGGTTGCTGCAATTTATAGCAATCTCTGAAGCATACATTTATTATTTTTTACTTGTTAGTATCATCATGATAGCCTAGAGTTTGTTATGTTTCCTTCTATTTTAAATTTCAAGAGTACAGTGACTATTCTTCCAAGGAGAATTGTCCTTGTTCAATGCCAGAATTCTGTACCCTTTTCCCCATTTAGACATTATACTAGCGCTTGAACATGAAGCTTATTTTTTAGATCTAAAGGTAAAGGTTTTCTGTTAGCAATAGTTATGAAACTCAGGCCAAATATCTTCCCATTGATGGCACTAGGTCATTAATCCCAAAGTTGTGTTTGGTATTTTACTAGGAATGTGATTGTTGGCAATATGATTGTTGGGAATGTGATTGTTGGGAATATAACCTTGTAGCGTTTCGTATAACATGGGAAAGTGATGACTATAAAGAATGTGATTGCATTGTAGTGTTTGGTTTAGACGCACTTTACTGGGAGTATAGAATAAATTTACAAAATTATCCTTATGGATGAAAATATAAGTTGAATAACCTCCATTCTTTTTTAATGTAAATTTTTAATTTTTTCAACTTTATTTCTTAAAGTAATAAATAATAGCATGACAAAAATAACATAATTTTTGAATACTAATTATTTAAATATTAAAATATGTAAAATTATTAAATGTTTATTTTTAGTATATTAATTAGTTAATTTTAAAGAATTCAATTAATTAATTTAAATTATTTTATAAAAATATTAGTTAATTAGTTAAATTGCCACATAATCCACCACTTTCTTTCTTTCATTTTATTTCTCTTATTTCTTCCTGCACCCATCGTTCTTCGATT